ACTGGTGTCAGAAGTGGGATCAGTAACGCCAAACACGTTACAATATGTAATAATTTTGGGTACAACAATTTTCCTCAACACTTTGTTTTCAGGTGTTCACAATTTATGTTTTTTCTTCAGAGTAAACTTACTTTTATTTTGTTATTTTTAATAATATATTCAATGATTTTTAGAGAAATTAAAATGATGAACATAAGTAAATCACGATGCATCAAATTCACATGTTCACATATTATATCCAGTTCATATGGCTTATATAGTCATACAGTCATACAGCAAAATAGAAGGTTCAATGTGAGCTAAGCAATCCCAGTTCAGCGTTCACGATTTCCATGTGCACAGGGGAACATAGGAACCTTATTCGTAACATGGCTCATGGACTGGTAATTTCTCTATTTAGGAGTATTTCTTGCTTCATTGAACTATCTTTTTTATTTGGCCTTTGTTCTATTATCTGTTGCAGTTATGCAGCTGGACTGGGACCATATCAAGATCAGTGCTTACCAGTGTAAACTTAGGGGTTCATTGAGTATGTTTTGGCCTTATTACTATTTGTACTTTTAATTACTGATTACATGCTCACTGACTTCTATTACAAGTGTGTCACTAAGTTATTTACTTATACTGTAAACCTTAACCAGTGACAATCCCAAGTAGCGATCAACAAGGATAGAGAAGGTGGAGAGGAAGGGGATGTGGATTATTGCCCTATACAACCCACCTTTCCCAGCCCTCGCAAATGATCATGAAACTTCTTGCAAAGCAGACACTTAAAAACCTGAGACATAAATGGATCATAAGGAAACAGATTGTGGGTATGCAAACTGAAATTAAATTGCACACAATCATACTCAATGGTGGGTTTTATATACTGGTGTTGCTGAGCCATTACTTGTTAAGATAGTTACTTTAAATAAACATAATTTCAAATTCAACGCACCACTGTTTTAACAAACTGAGATAAATTAAAATTTTTGAAACTCAAATATTTGGTTGTCTCACCTGAGGTGTGAAACGGCTGGGTTGATGCTGTCCTTGGCCTAAACCAAGTGTGACAACCGGAAAACTTGAAGTTGTACCCACACCTGGTTTGGAAGTTGTAAGATCCCGTTCAATGTCCTCCAGTCGAACAACTGATGAAGGTTTACTGAGACCAGGTGGAGGTGCTATGGGAACTATATTTCGCTGTGAGATTAGATCTCTCTCCAACTCCTCAACTGTGCAAACATTCTGGTAATCAATAAAGCAATCTGTTGAACATGTTTAAAACTACAGGTTTGTGGCTGTTCAATTTCAAAGTGACCACAAACTGCAATTTGGCAAAATTTTAAGCTGTCATAGTTCAGCTTCAATAATTTTTATTGAAGACACTAAAGTTTTCTAGAAAGAACAAAAGGACAACCAGAGTGACCATTTTCTGTGAAATTTAAAATGCATCATTAACACGTTAACACATTCTATTGGTTTCCAAGCCAAAAAAGAAATGTACCAGTCACACTGTTCTGTGAGATCTCTCAACATTTTGCATTCAGACAACAATATATTTGCATGACCATTCCAGTCAATATTAATCAAATTAAACAACACTCTATACAAAACCCGTACAACTCGATTATATTTTGTCATATGAACTACTTCAACAGAATCAGCTGATCTTTACAGACATTATTTGTGTCTCATGAGATTTCCTAGATCGCTCAAGTGATAATAAAGCCAGACACACCTTAATTTTATATGCAGTGACTGTACTATCATCCAAGCTTCAAAGGAGCAGTGCTTCTTGAGATATTACTATATAAAAAACTCCGTGGCCTGTAGTCCACAAGTGAACTATACCAACTGAGCAACCGTTGCTTGTTGGCGAAGTTAGTGCCAACTTTAGCAGATAGAGGGTGTCATGTGGTCAGCGCAACGGTTCCCTAAGGCCGTTTATCTCAGTTTTCTAGACCAGAGATACTATTATATAAGTGAATAAAAACAGGGCAAAGTTTGAAGTTCAGATTAACTGTATTATTCATAGCTTAAGTTATATCTCAATCATTCAAAAAGAATGCATAACTTATTGTTTGGCAGTATAGTTCTGGATTAATGGCTGCAAAATTTCTGGCCTTTGGGCACAGATAAAAGATAGGCAGACAACTGTGTAATTAAAAAAAATTTCTTCATCCCTTCCTTACACATTATGTGACAAATCAATTCCTTTGTTGCTATTCTGAACAAGTGCAAGCCTGTCTCATGTGGCAAAACATATACTGCTTTGATTACTACATTATAACACATTATTCTTTCATAAGTATATGAAATATATATGAACTGATTTCCTTATCAGTTACATGGATATATTTATAGCCATCAATAAAAACATGTTCAGTTAGAACAGGCATTAAATCATAGTTGCATCAGGATTTATGTTCCAAGCATTATTTAGTAAAATATGAACAACAGTTCTGTGTTTATTGTAACTGAAAACTGAAATTTTCTGTGTACTCATACAAAAGTAGAGAGCAATCATCATCTGGAATAACTAGATTTGTTTTACAGTTGCAGATGACATCTTGTTCATTCGAGTAAAGATATTTATTTAATATCAGCATATTTAATGGCATTTTCAACTGCTAAGATTACACGGTGCTGAACGACAGGATAATTAGTAAATACTGAACTGGAAAGAACATGTTAAGAAGCAGTTCTGACTTTATTTAAGGCACCAACCCCCCCCCCCCCCNNNNGAGATGGTTGCTCAGCTGTTGAAGCGATCAGGAAAAGGTTTGCTTGCGCAGTGCGGTTGCTGGAGTGGTGAGGCGGTAGCTATGCCAGTTGCCCAGTGCATCGGGCATGACCGCCGGTGAGTCCGAGGCAGCTGAGCTGCCCAGTGAGTTGGGTGTGAGACTGCCAGACAGCCATTCTTGGCGCAGCGCAGAGCCAAAGCTTCCGAAGACCGAGCGCTGGAGTGGAGAGGCAGAAGCTGCAGTGTGTTGACTAATGTTGCCAAGCGCGGTCGTAGGAGTGATGAGGTGGTAGCTACGCCAGACACCCAGTGAGTCGGACATGACCGCTGGCGCAGAGCAGAGCCGAACACTCCCAAAGACCAAGAGCTGGCGACGAAGTGGATGTTGCTTGAGTGAAGATTGATCGTACACGGAAGATGCCAGGTTGGAATTACTCCTTTTATACGATGCTCGATGGCGGAGCGAAAATTTGCTGAGCGCTGATTGGCTAGCGCACGTAATGATGTAGATGCGGGCTAGCCGCAAGCGCTGTATAAATGTGAACGTTTGAAGCAATGTGATTGGTTAGCGCGCGTGATGGTGAAAAGTGAGCTGAATAGCAAGCGTTGCAGAAATGCGTGATAATATGTGAGATGTTCCCACATCACTCCCCCCCCCTTGCGAGAAGTGATGCTGCTGCTTGCGAGTTGTCTGCGGTGTCCATGCTGTGCCAGGATGCACCAATGTGGGAGTCGTTGATGATCTTCACCACATGCGCTTCCAATCATGTTGGGGTCACCAATGTGGACTGTCGTATGAAGAGACAACCAGTAGTTGAACTGTCCTATAGGACAGTTCATTGCAGCTGCACAGTATACACAGATGGATAATAACAATAGTGAACTGTAACTGTAACTCAGTGTATCTTCTTATGTAGCCTAGTCGGACATATAGAAAACATGTCACTGTCAGTATTGTTGTAGGCTTTGCCTAGCAACCGCTGTTTACTCGTCATTGCTAAGCAAAACATGCCATAAAAACTATGTACAGTGTCATGTCTTAATTTATATGGGATGTGACATTATCACCAGTATACTGATGGATATTGCTGTTCATCTCCCCACTTTGGCGCCACTTGGAGGTGCAAGTGGGGATGGAAGAAACTCATCATCAGACCTGTCATGTGTGTTGTCACAGACACTCCTATCTTAGTGGTTCACTGGTTGCCCTCACTTGCATACTCCTTGGTGGGGTGGATGTCGAGCTTTATCTATCATATAATCTTCCTCCTTGTCTGTTTTGTGAGAGTTTTCTTCAGATGCCTTGATTTGCTGTCAAACATTCAATCCCATCTTTGCCAAATCATTGTCTTCTGAAATACATCCTATCATGTCCTTCTGGTGTAATCAGAAATATGGAACTCCAAATCCATGCACATTAAAGAGATTTAAATAGACTGAATTGACAATGTTTGTTTCCAGTCGCATCAAACCCCAACGGCCAGGTCTCACAACAGAAGTTGACCATATGATTTGTCCACTCTTTACATTCTTAGAAACCACTGTATAGCAAGGCCATTTATACTTATGGTTATTTGTTTGGCTTTATAGTAGCACATTTCATAGCTATGAATTACAATATAATCATAATTCATGGCTTTGAAATGTAGAGTTATCATCAAAAGTTTCAAAAACTTTTCAGATCTAAATATAAAATCACACTGTAGTGAACATGTGAGTATAACGAAACTTATTCGGAAAGACACATAAACTAAGTGCATATATACAGACTGTTTATTTCAGAACTTTGAATATAGATGTAGGCAATAATTCTTAACAGCCCAGTTTTTATTTGGAGCTTAAATTTTAAAAATGCAATAAACTCAATTCATTTTTTGAAACACTGCATTTTGGACATTTTTAAGTGTGCTTAGAAAAACCCTAAGCCATCAGCTGGTATGCTAGGAATTTAAATGCCATTTCTTAGAAGGTTAAGAGTGGTCCACTGCTAACACCAAGGAAGACATTCCTTCTTCAGAAGCTAACAGTCATTCGGCTGGTCAAGAAATTAAATGCCTTCCATGGAACCCAAAGATTAATTATTATGTTCACAAGAGCCTGATACTAATCCCTATCCTACATTAGATGAATCAAGAACAACTTTCTGATATCATGAAAGCTAGTTACAAAATCACACTAACCTTCACACCAGATAATACTGGTTGTGTTCTGGATGTCTGGTGTTGGACATCGTGTTTGCCAACTCCCCACACTGAGTAGCCGGATGGAGCTGAACTGCTGTAACTGGGAGATCCAATCAGATCAACACCAGTGCCTCCAGAAGGGAAATGTTGTGAAGTCTGAAATACACGTTTTATTAAACCTCTATGGTGCTAACTTCTATTAGAAAACTGGTTAGGGTAATTGAATACAAGGAGGTATCAGAAAGTTCTCAGACTGTTATTGTTGTGAACTACCATAAGGGTTGCGACATTTCTCTGTGCAAAGATGGGTGTTCTGAGGTCTACGACACAAAGAAACATTGCTGGGGTAATGTAAACTGTATACATATTATCTAGGGCCTATAGGGAACTAGTAGTACCCCATACTTTATTCCAACTGCAGAAAAACCATAGAAGTTATTTCAGTTAAAAACACATATCATATTTACTGTTCTGGGAGTAAAATTTAAATACTCCTAAATACTACTCTGACATCATGCTGCAGACTGGCAATTAAATCCCCCCACATCAAAACTCATCTGGCACTAGGGTAAGAAATTCTGACACGCTTACTGAAGCATCACGCATGCACACACACACACACACTTGCATAAAAATGCTTGCATGCACACACAATATTGACTTCCTTTTTCTGAGAAATTATGAAGAAAATTAAACAAAAGAAATGAATAATTTAAATACAAACTGTAAGTGTTACAAATAAATATGTTTGTATTCACCTAGAGGTGAAATACTATAATATTCAGTGCTAACAGTGAGATGAATACTGACTAATGCAGCAAATGGCAAAAACTGTTTTCGTTAAGAGCTTAATAAAACAGAATATGTTTCTTACAAGGGGTTGGGGTTTAGTAGCCTCCCCATTCTCCAAGATTGGATCATCACAGTCTTCCAACATAAGCTGTGAAATGCTGGCTTCCAGATCCAGGTCTGCATGATCATCTGACTCAGTATGGCTGTCATTGTTATAACTGCTGCGACAAATGCGCGACTGTTCAGTTATCTCTGCAAGTTTCTCATGGTCCTCTTCCCAGTCACCTTCTGTCATAACGAAATTTGAAGACAAGTTAATACTGCTTCATGTAAATAAAACTGGTTTTTCTCATGTCTGGAATATTAATACTTCCAGACCCTGCTAGAAAATTATCAGATTACCCTTGCAGGCCAACAGCTTTTGCCTAGGAGGAACACTTCCGCAACCATACAGAAATATTGATATTTTTGTGACAGTTTTCTTTCATGCTGCCTAACCTGTTATCTACCTGTATCTGAGTATTATTCAAATGACAGAACTGTGACATAAACTACATGAATAAATCTTAAGCCAGGTGTCAATGGAATTTCCAACCACAGGTCTGGCTGTTATCAACTTCATTTGGTGATTCTGACAATGATTCAAGAAATCAGGATCTAGAATAGAAATAAAGAAAGTTTCAACTACTACTTTTAGTCAGTTATAAAATACACATTTTCTTACACAAAGGTCACATTATAAAAAATTTCTTTGAGTAGTTTTGTCTTTAAATCAATATTATTCATGATACTTTGACACAGAATAAAACTGAATAACATCTGGCTCCTTGACAAAGTCAAAATATATTCAACCAATTAATCAATCAATCAATTAATTTATTTGTTCCAAGAATTCAGTAAGTGTTAAGAACAAGATGTTCAAATTAACCCACTTCAGCCTCTGTCACACATGTTAACTGGCTGCGACCATAGAATGCTATACTATAGGGTTCTGATGATGGTGTATAACACACAGAGATACTGAGTTTTCGGACTTTGTCCATCATCTGGATTTTAAATAACTAAGTAAAAAACAGAACATTTCGGAAACTGGATCTGTTTCCATCCTCAGGTGAGGGAAGACACCTACTCTGTTGGGTCCCTTAGAAAGAGCTAGCCTCAATCACTGGTCTCAGGTGTTTATAGCCTTAGTGTTTTGTTACATCGGTTGCCCAGTGATTGAGGTTAGCTCTTTCTAAGGGACACAACAGAGTGTCTTCCCTCACCTGAGGATGGAAACAGATCCAGTTTCCAAAACTCTGTGTTTTTTACTTAGTTATTTAGAATCTGGATGATGGACAAAGTCCAAAAACCCATTATCTCTGAAAGAATGCTATCTTCTGGAACATGACACTATGTGGTCTTGTAGAAGTCTACCAGCATTTCAGAGGAAAGCACTGCATCCATTTTCAGAGCTGAAGTGTAAGCTAAGAAAGCAGCAAGAAGCTGCTGTGTGCAGGGCTTACTCTTCAACCCTAAAGATGGAGGCCATCTGTGCCTCTGAAACGTTTGCAAATGTCTACCAGATTACATGATGTCGCATCCCATAAGATAATACTCTTCACAGTCAATGCCATGAAAAAGTAAACTCTAACCGGGCTCTGACTGAATTAAAATCACTACCAGTTCATGCTTTCCTGCCAAATAATGGTGCATTTTGAACAGAAAGGCTTCCTGTTTCTGCAACAACTAGAACTGTAATCTACATGATGGAATTAGAACTACAAGCCACAACTCCTAAAACAGTTCATAGGGGAATACAGAATAACTTGGTGACAAGGCACCCTGAATTTTTTGTGCCCTTTGTTAGTAAATTACTACCATATTTCCAACCACACACAAAAATCATGACAACAAACATTGCATTAGTTACTTCTACCTTTGAAAGGTTAAACATGGCTGGTGAAATTCCCATTCAGTTTGTCTGATGGATGCCTACAGTGGGAAAACTTTAAAGCATGGAAGGTGGTCAATGAGACTCACAGGGGGAGGTGAGCATTATACAGGCAGGTTGCAATAAAGGTGGTTATCAGACCCATGGGAGGATTCCATTCCCTCAGGTTTGAGTGGCCACCTTCTTTGAGAACTGTGGGTGGTCACTCAGACCCATGAGAAGGACACAAGCCCAATCCAGGCCAATGGGAAAGGTGCACTTGAAAGCAGACCTGATGGGTGCACTATTTTTTTCTTCACATGTGGAAAATGGAATACTGAGAATGAATAGTCTTGTCAGGGATACAATAATGTTTTCAAGAGAAAAAAATGGAATTGTGAGAAGTGGTAGCCTTTTCAACGGCTGTATGCTTTCCTCGCAGAAACCCTGAGAACTGGGAACACACGATGCATGTAATCCCTGAGGAGAAATTTCATTCTTTCTTTCAGGAAGTACATAAGGAGTTTAAATGAGCTGTTCACTGAGAATCTGCCCTCCCTGTTCATGTTGTTTGGGTGGAGCTCAGTCTTTAATGCTTCCTTTATGACCCAGTACACCTGCAGCTGGACTTCCTGGTTAGGATGTTTGTTGGTGTTGTTCAACAGGATATGATGAGTGAGATCAGTGTTGTTTTCTGTCACAGTCAGTCTCTTTGGTTAATAGGTCAGATGTTAAGTTGTATTCAATAATTCTCCTTCCAAAGGAATGACAACTTTTTCCAATATACCGTATTTACACATGTATAGGCCGCAGCACAATTTTCAGACAGAAATTATGGAAAAAATAATTTTCTTGGAATATTATTTCAGGAGTAGAAATTATTCTGAAATTTGGCAACGTTTAACATTCCTAAGTTTGCAACTAGCGAAAATAACGGCACCGCTCGGAACAAAGGCATTGTGGGGGAGAGTTATAACCTTTTCACCTTTACTTGACTTGCCTGGTTACTTCTGAGTGAAACATGGGTCGAGTAAGAGCAGGTTATACGTCTAAATTTAAACTTCAAGTGGTGCGTTACGCACAAGAACACGGAAATCGAGCAGCAGGGAGAAAATTCGACGTTGACAAAAAAAATGTGCGAAGATGGATACTAACGAAAGATGCCCTTGAAAAAACGTCACAAAATCGACAATCTTTCCGCGGAAAGAAAGCTAAATTTCCAGAACTTGAAAATAAACTTTTGTGATACGTGCGTAATACACCCTGTATTACTAATTATGAATATAATTTTTTTTTAAATGAAGTGTGATTTCGAATATTTCGAATATAAGCCGCACCCCAGTTTTCCTCTTGAATTTTTGGCAAAAAATGTGCAGCCTATACATGCGTAAATACGGTATACCTTCCCACACTCACATGGGATGTTACATACACCCAGTGATTTCAGGCTCTGATCATCCTGAGATGAACAAAGATGGTGACTCTTCTCAGTTATGATACGTACTTGAATAACACCTTGCTGATGTGGCTGGATGTATTATGGACAGGAAGGCCACTAATTTGGTGTTTTCTTTGGGTGGATTGACCTGTTTCTTGAGTGGGATAAGATCGTGACATGTCTGTTTCATGATATATTACAAAGTATCTGTAGTTGTGGGGGTGGGTGATGGGAGTGAGAATCCACAAAAACCACCCTTAGGAGTTTTGAACACAGAAACTGACCACTGCAGTCTGCTGAAATAAAATAACATATACCAATCAGCTTGAATCTGTATCTGTAGTTGAGGTATTGGAAGCAGTAATGGGGAGTATTACCCTACCATCAGAAGTTATGGTCTGGTCTTTTTATGCCAGCAGGCAAACATGATGTATGAAATGCATTAATCCTAGGATACAATTTTCTCTTTGGCATAAATTTTGAGGAATAGAAACAGATATTGAACAGGAGTTCATTTGTCAGTGGAAGTGAGCTTAATGAAGACACTGTAGCAGTAGATAACAATACTAATGGGAGTGCAAGCTGAGATATAAGTAGATCATGCTACAATTAATATTGTGACATGCAGACCAACTGACAATCCAGTTCTAAAAGTGAAATGGGGTCCATACATGCTAGGGAGAGAGGTAACTTGACAGTAATAATTACGATAGATAACAGAAGTTTGTACACATTTATGAACAAGCAGAAACCAGTATGAGAGCAATAGATAACTTTTGCAGCCTCTGTGATGAACATGAGAAAGGTGAAAGACCCGTCACTGTTGAAGAATAAAGTCAGCACACGGGCTACATAGAATATTTTGGCAGGAAGAGTTCCAAAGCTGTGTAATTTTTTCAATATAAATACCATTACCTCACAAACTACAAAGTTAAAACCCAGCCACCATTCGCAAGATTTAAATCCTGTATTCCTGTATGACAATGGCTAATGGGAATCATCAAATGTAATTTCATACAGAAATTGAGTGAGTAAACTTGCAAAGTTAAAAACAAAAACTGGAAACTTCAAGGTACCATTCACAGTGTTTGTTCTTAACTTCAAAATGTAGCATGTGGGTCACTGTCCTCATTCTTGCCAATATTACTGCAAGTTTAGATAAATTTGAGCTCGGGTCACTGTCCTCATTCTTGCCAGTATTACTGCAAGTTTAGATAAATTTGAGCTCATGTTCAACTTACTGGTATTCCAGTTACATGTGATTACTTGGCAACATGTAAAATTGATCAAGCGGTTTATTTCACCTGGGAAAATATGCAGGATCACAGTGAAGGTGTAAGAAACAGCACCAATGGAGCCAACTTGGACACAACATTTCTTAATGTGCTCAGTGCAGGAAATGAAATAATTTATACAATAATATGTTAACCATATGCTCTTAATTTTATTACCAACATCTTCTGACACAACCAAATAACTTTTCTCACTTAATTCATTACATCTCTGCATAACTGTTTCTGTATATACAGATGTCATATTCCATAAACATTCACAGGGAAAGTATCATTCTACAAACTTTATGTTGTCAGCTTCTGAAAACCCTGCCATTTTGTTTCTTTGGACTGTACACATTTCCAACAGTACTTCACTTAACCAGTACTACCCAGCACAGTTGCAGTTTATATTAAAGCACAACTGTTCTTTGGAGAAAATCAAATGGAGGCTTAAATTAACATAAATTCACCTTCAGACCCAGCTAGCCTGAAACAGTCAAAACTGAATCTTTTCATTTATTCTGGTCTCTTACAAGCATCTTTTTCTTCTGGGTAATCATTTGTAATTCTTCTGCAATTTCTCTGATAGTAGTGCAAAATATGTTATCAAGAACATTTTTAACTTTGTCATCACTGCTTCACTTCTTCTATAGTAAAAAAGGATATTACCTCATGCCTAAGTCTCAGCACAATAACCACTTCAATGGTGCTGGAAGAAACGTTAGCAGTCAGAAGAGGCCTAAGACAGAGTACAAGATAGAAGCACAGATTGTTCTGAAATGATGCTGACCACCTGCCAGGTTACATGGTGTCATTAGCTCAGAAGACTAAAGAATACATACTTTCTCTCCACTATGTGAAAGTAAGAACAGTGGAGTAAAAACTTACTGCAACCTACCAAAAGCATCAGTGCCAAATGTTTCATCATTCAGTGCATCATACACTTCTTCTTCTTCCTCATCCAAGCCTTGGCCTGGCTCATCATGAAGTTCATCCTCAAGAGATCCCTATAAGCAGTAAAACACCATACCATTTTCTGCAAGACATCACAATGATATTTATAAATAAATACAAAAAACAAAAATAATAAAAAAGGTAACAGAAGAAAACAAGGAAAATCATAGTAACTATCAGCACAACCAGTTCCTCCCAAGACTGGAGCCAGGCATCTCAAGAAGAAGCATGGTTTATGACCACTACAATGATAGTGAGGAAATATTTCACAATCTTGTGATTTATCTTTGAATTCTATTAGTATTTCATTATGTGAGAATAAAAATTATTTATTTCTTAATGGAAAAATATGATAAAACATTAACTTAACAATGTTGCATTGTATAACTCACTGCTATGAATATCAGCCCGCCTCTCACAACTTATGAATAAACAACTGAAGACACTAGAGTTATCGACAAAATCAGCATTCATTGACTAAGCATACTCATTACATGTTTTGACCATATATGTTCATCATCAGGCATTAAAATATTAAAAATGTGTTGTGAGAGACAAACTGATATACATAGCAGTAAGGTTAAGGGCCACACCATAGCTCAAGCGGTTAGTCGCTGACTTTCCACCGCGGTGGCCTGGGTTCGATCCCGGGTCTGGTCAAGTGGGATTTGTGGTGGACAAAGTGGCGCTGGGGCAGGTTTTCTCCGAGTACTTCGGTTTCCCCTGCCAATCTTCATTCCACCAATTGCTCCAAAATCACCCTCACCTATCATCTGGGGCTGGTACAATAAGCCAGAAGTGGCCACAGTACAAGGGACTTAGTCCCACCCCACTAGCAATAAAAAAAAAAAGAGAGGTTAAGTGTATATCCCTCATGTCAATTTTACGAGAATCTTATATTATGAAACATGCAGAATAATGCATTCTATCATTGTGCAAAAAAGTCTTTGCTATGCTGGTTGCCCGAGACAATTTAGCACTATGGCAGCCCGTCACAAAGCTAGCCAGTCAGTGTGGACCTCAGCAGCGCCCACTTCCCAATGGGTCTAGGCAACTGCTAGTGGAGTCAGCTGACGGCGTTGCTGGCGGGAGTCTCGCTGTTGCTGTGTGCATGCCACATGAGCTGTCTCGAGGGAAGAGCAGCTCCGGCTGACTGACTAGCGCATCGGAGGTCTGCATCTTTATTCGCTGTCACTAGCCATGCCCAAACCAATGGGCGTTGATGATGTCAGCGCTGATTGGTTAGCTGTGTGGTAGGCTCCCACAGCACATTTATTCAACGTGAAAGCTTCAAATCTTACATCATGAACTTTTTCATGTATATCATAAATTGTTAATGAAATCTGGTAAAATGTGATATAAAACATATATGACATTAATGAATAACTTTTACATTTTGCCATCTTGACTGATTACAAAGCATATAAGCTCATAGATGAACCTTTCATGCACACCTTACTTACTTATGGAGCTGAGCCCTTCTGGAGGAGCTGCCGATTTTGCAGCTACTCAAGAAATTCCCAGCATTATGTGGAACCTGAAGGTTCATTACAGTGTTCACAAGAGCCCTCCACTGGTCCCTATCCTGAGCCAGACAAATCCAATCCATACCATCCCATCCTATCTCTCTAAGATCCAATTTAATATTGTTCACCCACCTATGCCATGATCTTCCCAGTGGTCTCTTTCCTTCTGGCTTTCCCCCCAATATCCTATATGCATTCTTCGTCTCTGCCATTCATGCTACATGCCCTGCCCACCTCATCCTCCTTGACTTGATCATTCTAATTATACTTGGAGAAGAGTACAAGTTACGAAGCTCCTCATTATGCAGTTTTCTCCAACCTCCTGTCATTTCATCTCTCTTCAGTCCCAATGTTCTCCTCAACACCCTGTTCTCAAACACCCTCAGTCTATGTTCCTCCCTTAGTGTCAGAATAAGTTCCATGTACACCTTACCTCCAATAACCAATCTTTCATTAAATTGTACACCAGAAATCTGTACATATTAGGTAGCGATTCTGATTTCTAGCCATACTGGCTTACTGCAAAGCTTACTAACACCTTAAGCCATAAATGGACTTTTCCTTGTCTCCCACATAACATTCTTGTTGTAATTCAGCACTAAGCATTATTATAAAGCTAAAAAATGAACTTTGCCCACTTTATCGAATCTTGGTTTTCAATGAATAATATGGTAATAAATAATGAGAAGACTACAGCAATGTATTTCCATATGAATAAACTACAAGACAGCATTGAGGCAGTAATTACCTTTAAAAATATAATAATTAATTATATAGCACAGTTTAGGTTTCTTGGTATTAATTTAACCCACAAATTAAAATGGAACATTCATATTCAGACGGTCTGTACAAAGCTCAGTTAGGTAGTAAGGTGTGTTACATTATTAAAGCTTTGAAAGGCGAAGTAAGCCCATATGTCCTTAGGAATGTGTACTTTGCTAAATTCCAATCTCAGATAAGTTATGGTTTGATATTTGGGGGGGGGAGAGAAAGTGAAAGTAAAAAAATTCTGATTTTGTAAAAAAGGGTTCTTCAAATAATGAAAGGGGTAACAAAAACAACATCATGTAGACCTATATTTAGAGAATTAAAAATTTTAGAGCTAACATCTTTGTATATTTTAGAGGTGTTACGTTATTTCAAGAAATATAACATTTACACCACAAAAAAACTCTGACCTTCATAAGTATGACATCAGAAAGAAAGAAGACCTTCACCTGCAAAGTTACAATACCTTAACATATGAGAAGGGTATTACAAATATGGCTATTAAGCTTTATAACAGACTGCCTCTGGAACTATGAATGGTAAAAGCACATAGAGAATTCGCACATAGACTCAAAAGATATTTGCTGGAACACCCATTGCATAATTTGCATGAGTTTCTCTCAGAAGGACAGTTAAATGAATAATATTCTCCATGATAAATAGATTTAAGTATAAATAAAATGACTAGTAATTAGATGAAGTTTTTAATATGATTCAGCCTATGAAGGGAATGGAAGTCTTAAAAGAGACTGCACTCCAAATGATTTAATCGTTATCTAAATTGAATTTTATTTTTGTGGATTATTTTGATATAATAGGTTTTAAGTGTAAGAATATGATGGTGGCAATTAAGATATATATATAGTAAGATGACCTTGTTTTTTATAATGGAAGGTAGTCGTAAATTTAATTGTACCTAATATATTTTAATTATTCCAAGAGTGTGATTTTAATTGTAATTGAATGTTATGTTATGTGATATATGATGATGTTCAATTCATTGGGCAGGAGGCCAATTAGACTGGAAAAGTTGTATATGTATGTGACTTGTTCGAGAGTTACAATTTGTAACTGTGATTAATGTTAAATAAAATCATCATCATCATCATCATCCAATATATTTTGTGTTTTGCTGAAATGCTGTTGTTAAATTACCCATAGATAAGCTTAATAAACTGCAAACACAAGTGAGAACTGTATATACTACATTATGGAGTACACTCTTTTCAAGCTTGTTCAAATTAATTTAAAATCCTCCAGCAATGATACATTAATAAAAATTGTCTATCTTGCAAGTGATGTAAGTCTTTTAATTTGGGGACTATAGAATACCACTAGATCCCATCACTTAACAGCAGAAGAAGGATGAAGGTGCTATTAAGGCCACTTCAGTCCCTCCATGATTTTTGGTTATGGAACCTGTAACCTCCAGAGACACTTCACTGCGACATTATTTCTCTGGGGCTTATAACAAAGGTGGGAAGCTTTAGATGATGGCTTCATCATCCACGTGTGTACTGGTAAGGCAAAAAGAGACTATCATATCATTCCACTTCAAACCAAGCAGGCTGGTGCAGCAGTAATGCTGACGACTAATATTTAGTAGGTTCTTGGTTCAAATCTCAACTGGGACACATGTTATCTTGACTATTTCATTATTTCCCTCCATCCCCTCTAAGCAAATGCTTGAACAGTATCTCAGTCAAGTTATAATCATTTCCTTCCAAATCTTAACTGCCTAACATATGACAATATATCATATTTCTTGTGGGAAATGTGCAACTAAAGACACTAATAACTGGCTTTTGAACTTAAGATTAATATCTTATTTCATTTCATTTCATTTATTTCGTATCCATGGATCATTATACATGATATAAGACATGTCATTCTTGTGTAGTTATGGTATAATAATGTTACTATTGGGGGGGCTGCATGTGAAGCATGCAGTGCAACGTGGAATTTGGGTACCAACTCAGCATTTGCTCTGGGACCAAGGAAAACCACGGAAAACCTTGATCGAATTGGCCGGTCACAAGACCTCCCAGATACACTGGTTATTCTCTCTCCTGAGAACATAACGCCAACTACATGAAATTAATGTATAAGGATGTATCACGCTTTTGAGAAATGTCTATTCAAAGAAAACGAATAAAATATGTGTCATATAATGATTGCAATCGGAAGCAGTCATGATTTCCTGTCATAATCTTTGAACATGCCCAATCATCAAATTGCCTGAAGTTGCTATAGTGGATGTGTGGAACTTTTATTCACTTATAACATAATATTATACTGTAAGTTACAGTCTCACATGGAACACTATGTTCTATAACATTTATTAACTTTAAAAGTTTAAAAGTCCATCACTATGTGTTTCGACCAATGGGGTCATCATGTGTTAAAATCTTTGGCAAGGAAAATGGTGTCTTCTGTTGTTAAATATATAGGTTCTCTTAATGCACATGTGTTTAGTGTGTGTGGGTTGTATTCTCTCTTGCTGCATTTTGTGCTGTGTGATAAATGTGGTCATCATGCAGCAAAAAAACACTACAAGAGAGAATACCACCCATCAACTCAAACACATGTGTACATCAAAAGGACCTATATATTTAACAAAATAGGCAACAACAGAACATACCAGTTGTGTCACCGAAGACTGTAACACCTGATGATGACCACATTGATTGAAACATTTAGTGATTGTCTTTTAAACTTTTAAAGTTAATAAATGTTACAGAACAGTGTTGCACACGAGACTGTAACTAATCACTTAGAACAGTCTAAAAGACAATGCTGCCATGACATACAAACCTTAATTTATAAACTACAGCATTTCATTTGTTATCATCACACAACTGTTACAATAGTCTTGCAGTCAGCTCATAACCATGCATTTTAAGGAATTTAAAACATCATAAAATAAAAGCACTGAATAGACCATAAATTCTTTCAACATCAGAAACGCTAATAAAGCCACCACATATTCTCATTACCCACCCGTTTTGTAATGAATTCTGTACTCTATACAAACTGAACAATTCTCCGCCTTACACCCCCAAACCAAAAAAATTGTCCAAAAAATTAATAGAGGTTAAGTGTTAAAAACTTTTACTTCATGAACGTTAATTTTGCTACTAATAATTTTAAGGCGAGAAGAGTGACTGGCATTTACTTGGGAGAGAGGCAGTGACTTTCAAATAACGTAATCCTATTTAAAGTTTTTTGACAGCAGATGTAGAGAATGAAATCTTCGCATCGAAATCATTGTTCTCATTACATGCTACACGTCCGGCACCAACAAATAAGAGTACGAGTATAACTTGGAAACAATAACATTGTGATAAATATATGTTGTACTAACTGTTAATGAAGTATTGAATCCAAAGAACGTATCTGCCATTTGCCTGTTATATCACAAAATGTCATAGCGCTTTACGTCAACTGCAATAAATTAGCCGTCATGGCGGATTTTGTACTTGTAATATACAAAATTTCCACCAGATGTCGAACAAGCAGATAATGTCGAAACGCGAAACTTTCAAAACTGTAATTAATAATTATTTTGCAACTGCGTAGTTTACGCTCATGTGATTTACAAGATATCGAATTTGTGAAGAAGTGAGGGAGCCACAGAAAATGACTGTGTACATACATAGTTCTATCTCTTAGATCCAGAGCATCCAGAGTTTGTCAGATGACTATAGGATAAGGAAAAATTCTTAACATCAAACATCAGTCCAGGCCGTCCAGACGGTCCAGACTGTTGGTCGTTAGCGGTCGTCAGACTGCGATTCTAGCCCCAAAATATGAAGCAAGGCATAAAATGCTGTCCCTGGGTCAGCGTGATCTTGCAAGTTAAAAGAAGTTTTTATTCTTGCAGTTTTGTCAGACAGAAGTTGTAAAGATAAGAGTCCCCCATTATTATGCAAAACATGACAATGGCCCATTTCTTGCATTCCTGAGCAATAACTTTTGACATGTTAATTCCTTTCACACTGATATTTGTTCGCTTGCTATTACCAGCCATCTTTTGCTGAGGGATACTCGAATTAACACAGATTTTTGCAATATCACAAATCAGTGGATTACCGCTTTTGTTTCATAACACTGCACTATGCTGTGAAGACATGGAAAAGTGAAGGTATATCTTCAACTTTCTTGGCTTCGGCACTAGATGAAGTTGGCAGTCAACTTCACGCCCCTGCTGCTTTACCCCCAAGGACAGAACCCCTGGTACCTATAGGATTGGAGACTGGGTGAGCCCCAGAGTCCGTCTAAACACTGTAGAGAAGAGAAGAATTTTGCACTGCCCACCATCAAACCCAGGTCATCACTATACCGACTGAGCTACCCTGACTCCCTTTCTTACTGAAATCACTTGAAAATTCATTATTGAAAGATCAAAACAATGGTGGAATGGTAATAATGTCTAACATCTGGGATGTTACATGACTAATGCATTCAGGTATGATCTATTCAACTTTCCTCATTTGTTTTTATGATAGCAACACTGAAGAAGACCATTTTGTAAGTGGAGGTAACTATGAATTGGGCACTGCTGCTCCCAGCAGGATGACAACAACAACAACGACGATGACGACGACGATGATGATGATGATGATGACGATGATGACAGCTGGCAGCTTCACATGGATTCCAAACCACTACAGACATCTACTATTCCACACACTGACAATGTTTCTCCCTTATCATTGGTGAGAAAAGAGCAAAATATTAAAAAAAATCCCTACTGGGTCTATGCTGATCTCAAACCTGAGACCTTTGGCACAGAAGTCAAGCATTCTATCCTTAAACTACCAGATCACTTCAGTGCTGTTATAAACGGTTTTATTTACGTGCAGGTAATTCAACAAAATTTTCATTTACCGGATTATATAGAGTCAAATGGATGGATATACTCATATGAATGGTGATTAGGAAAAGATTTGGGTGGAGACAGTAATGCTATAATTGAGCTCCTACCTCAGCATTTGCCTGGGAGACTGAGGAAAAGAAAGGAAATCATCAGTCATGACTGCTGATGCTCTGGCCAAGGTTCAAACCAAAGCACCTCCAAAATACGAATCAACAGTGATTTCTGCTATGCCAGCCTGTAAGACATTTGAACAATTCAACAGTAACTTCATGCTAGCAGAAGCCTAGCAACACTTGACTATCAAACGCTGAGAATAAACAGGGTATGTTACATACTGGAGTGGAAAGTTTTGTAAAATAATTAATGTATATACATCAATATAAAGGGTGTGTGTTTGTGCGTGCGGGTGTTTGTGTGTGTGTGTGTATAAATTATTTTGGGGGGGGGGTTTATATTAAGAATTAATTTTCAGAGATTAACACAGTAACAAGATTTCATGCATCATAATTTTGTTAATTATTCTAAATTTACAGTAGATCATGGACCGGTGACATAATGTTCTTCATTGATGAGTGTTAGTAATACCCTGGTATGTGTAGTTAGTTCATCATAAATGCAACTTTGTTTATAAAGATGTGGAACATTTTCTTAAAGACAGACAAAAAGTAAATGTTTGGCACTGATATACTTGCAACATGACAGGGCAACTCACTCTCTTTTCATCTGTCTGCATCACCATAGCAGGTAACTACAGATAAAAATAGAAGTACGAGATTATTTTGGCTCACACTGACCCAGTGATTATTCTGTAGAAGTCTGGTGGCAACCTCCCAGTCTTCCTGTTTACAGAGCAGTTAATTAAATAAAAGGACTCTAATCTGAACCAAAATTTTGCCATTTATTATATATTCCTGAAATAATGTAACCAATATGTCCTAGAAAGAAAAAATCTTCACCCTGCCTCCAGTGTAAGTAACTCAGCCAGTCAGTGATACGTATTTGTTACAATGGCAAAGTTATTAATATATATGACTGCCTAAATTCACAAATCCTTGAGTTGTTTACAACTATTAGTTGTAAACAATATTTCAAATCATTGCATATATTGCCTTTACAATGTCTCTGTATATATGACATTCTAGTTTATATAAAAACCAATTTGAATATTTTCATAACCAATTCAGGAATACACTCACACAATACAAGGAGAAAAGATGACCTGTTCATAGTGCCTTGTAATATGAGTCTATACAAAAACAATTTCAATAATATTGGACTTTGTATATTAAATCAGTTACCACAATATATTAAAGATATACCAGTTCAGATATTTTCTGTGATCTAGCAAAAGCTTTCGATTGTGTTAATCATGATATCTTACTATCAAAATTAAATTTCTATGGAATAACTGGCAAAGCTAATGAATGGATCAAATCATACCTCAAAAACAGGTATCAAAGAGTTGAAATAAATAATAAAAACTCCAGTCATAATGCATTTTCAAACTGGGGAATTATAAAGCACGGTGTTCCACAAGGATCAATTTTAGGTCCCTTACTTTTTCTTCTCTACATAAATGATCTATCTAAAACCATCAACAATAAATCTAAACCAATTCTATATGCAGATGACACTAGTATAATATTTAAGAACTCTAAATTTGACAACTTTAAAAATGACATAAATATTGTATTTGAAGCCTTAAACAGATGGTTCAAAGCCAATTTACTCTCATTAAATTTTGATAAAACCCATTACATATCATTCACAACTAAAAACAACCACCAAATTGATCTGGACATCAGTTATGCCAACAAATTAATCTGTAAAGTACTTGATACAAAATTCCTTGGAATACATG